GCTACATTATGAGATTCTTGTGTTGCAATTTTCTTTACACTTAGCTGGTAGATAAGTTTGTTAGTTGTGGTACTAATGAAACTAGGATGGTGAGTTCAGTACTTACTGTGCCAATAATGTGCCAATTATTGAGGCTCTGCATATATGATATATAATCTATAGTCTGTATCTTTAATTTCAATGCCTTCAACTAATTATTAGCTAGATTTTTCAATTCATAAGACTATGATAATTTTTCCTTTTAGGACCATGTATTATTATTAACTACAAATACAAACAACAACTGAAGCATTATTTCCAAAACATCCTGAGGTTGCAATACAACGGACAAGGTACAAAATGCCCAGGGCTTACTAGAGACCTGAAAAGGAGAATTTTAAATGAGACTGGAAATGAGTTATTTGCCTGTTGAACACCTCGATGCTTTCCTTCCATGCTACTATGTGCATGAAAATCTGCCCTTTAAATCAGTTTATAGGTAGGAAAAGTTTTCAATACCCAGCCACACCCTCCTCAAATCAAAATTGCCTAATGTATATAAAATACAAAGAAACCTCCATATCAAAAAGGGGGGGATATATGTATACCTACGGCTTATTCATGTTGAGGTTTGACAAAAAACAACAAAATTCTGTATAGCAATTATTCTTCAACTTAAAAATCAATAAATTAAAAAAAAAAAGAACCCCCCTAAACAGTAACCAGAATGCTTCTGGAACCACCCCATTGTGCCTCAGCCACTCCAGCACAGACACAGGAGTGTTGCCATGGTGGCAGGGACCTAACCATGTGGGCTGGTTTCAATAACCAGCAGCTGCTCACTTCAGAGAAAGCAGGATGATAGCCCAGATCTGAATGAGCATTTTTCTCTAGGCTCCGACCTGACCCGAATATTGTTTTCTCACTGAATTTCCATTTATTTATTTATTTTTAAATATCAACTTTCCTTGAACTTTCCCTCATTTGTGTTACACTTGGCAGGACTATAGAACTTTTCTTTCCTTCTGTACAAAATGTTTTTTTTTTCTTTAACAGTTCCTGAAGTTTTCCCTGTATCTTCTTATCTTCCCACCACCACATTTATGTACACACATGTGCACACACACACCCCCTTGCCTCATTATATAAAGATCCCAAACTAATCCTCTTAGCTTATTTACTCCAAGAAGTATTAACACCCAGGTAGCCCAAAAAACCCTCCATGATTCACCCAACACCAAGTACATTTCATCTGCCTTATGAAAATTTGGATCTGGAATAGGAAAATAACCGAAGGCTCACGTTATTCTGGCCATGTTCAAAGAATCTGTTTTAGTCCTAAACATATTCTTAATTACAGTTGGTTCAAAACCTGTTTTTTCCCTTTTGTTTACATATTGGCAAAATAGGAAGAATATAAAAATGTAAAAACTACTAATGTGGTTTCTGACCCCCACTCTTAGGGATTGCAGAGAAAACTGTTCTTGATGCAAGACAAGAGCTGTACTATATTTGACTTGAACTTTGCCCTCTCTAGCTCTTAAGGAGTTTGAAATAATTTTGAAATGAGTCTTCTGCTGCTGTTGAATTTTTTTTTTATAAATTTGAAATGATTTGTTTACAAGTTTTTACTAAAGACTGTCAGAGAAAAATGTTTGTGGACATGGTATCCAACAGGCTGACAGAACCCAGAACTTGCTTGGTATTTGAAGGAGAGCCCATCCACTATTATCCTGCACAGTGTATAATTACTTGCATGCTGGGAGCCAAAAATGGGAATGCAATCCTGTGAGTGTGTTTATACTGAAGAGTTTGAGAAGTAAAACAATTCAGCAAGCATTCTTCATCCCCAGCATCTGGGAATAATTAATTTGCTTGCTATGGTTTATAGCAAAGTTGATAAAGTTGTTTAAAGCACAGAGGTCATCTGCCTTAGTTAAATCTACTTTGGGGTTTTACACTGTGGCTAATTTTAGTAAATCTTTGTATTTTTAATTCTAAAATGCTGTGACAAGAACCTTCTGCTTATGGTTTCTTCATCATTTTCTTTTCAATCTTATTCCCACTTTGTTTAGGAAGCTGACTCTCACGCTCCTCTCCTCTCATCCTTGCAGTGTGACACTGCAGGGGCAAAGAGCTCTCAAGAGAGAGGCCCTGGAAGATGCAGTGTTGTTTTCGGCAAAACACTTATTTGAACTCTGAAGAGTTTCTCTGGAATATAGAACGCATCTTTGTTCAATTCTATTACTTTTAGGCCAGGACATTGGAGATTGTCATGTGAGACTCTTGATCTATTGTATTGTAACAAGTTAATAGTTTATATTAGGTGCTACAGTCCCTTAATTGTGACTTTTAGGAAGATACTATATTACATATATATGTGTGTGTGTGTATATATACACATACATATATAGTATAATGTTGTTGTTCAGTTGCACAGACATGCCCGACTCTTTGAGACTCCATGGGCTGCAGCATGCCAGGCTTCCCTATCCTTCACCATCTCTTGAAGCTTGCTCAAACTCATGTCCATTGAGTCAGTGATGCCATCCAACCATCTCATTCTCTGTCATCCCCTTCTCCTCCTGCCCTCAGTCTTTCCCAGCATCAGGGTCTTTTCCAATGAGTCAGCTTTTTGCATCTGGTGACCAAAGTATAGGAGCTTCATTCAGCTTCAGCATCAGTCCTTCCAATGAATATTCAGGCTTGATTTCCTTTAAGATTGACTGGTTTGATTGTATAGTGCATATATATATATATATACACATATATACATATTTATTTATTTATATGTATGTGTGTATGTGTATATATATATCCAATCTAACAATTCAACGTGTTACAGAGGACTTATCAGTCCCTGGGGATTTTCCTCAATTTCTCACTAAGGCATGCTAAAAATGAAACACAACTGTTACTCTGACCTGAGTTTAATTTGGGATTGCAGAATAAGAGCAAATGTTTTATTTTTGTTGGCTGAGTGCTCCAAGTGTTTAACAGTGCTAAAAGTTTTCTATAGCACTTTTGAAAGCTCCTGTTTCACAACACTCAGCTCTTTTCTTTTGAATCTTGGTGAGAAACAGAGCAACTCCCCAAGTAGAGCCAGGTTTTCATCCTCCTCTCTTTTCTCAAGGTTTATCTCCACACTTAGTGTGGAGATACAGGCACACTGCTTGTGCCCTGTATTTCAGGTCTCTTGGGGCTAAATATCATTGGTCTTCATTGTCAAAAATGATGACCTCTAGAAGGATTTTTTATGAAAGGCTTATACTCACTAAGAATAACCAGCCTGGGATCCAATTCTCAAACTGGAGCACTCACTGCCCTATAGCCAGAAGGTGCTTGCTCAGGGGAACTATTTCTGTTCTTCTGCTTCTGTATTCCTGACCTCTGTAAAATGTAACACTCTCCTATTCCCTCCTTCAGAGTTTACAAGCACAGACTAGACCTTACACCAGTGACTAAATATTCATGTACTATAGCTCTTAAAAGCTAACCTATGGTCTAGTGACTGGATTGGTACTGGTTGGTCATGAGTTTTCCCAGATCTGTTTTCTGATACAAAAAACAAAATAAAACAAAAAACCCACAATGAGCTGTATGAATACAGAAAACTTCCCTGTCATGTTTACCACAGAAGCCCACTATGTAGAAAAAGTCATAGTTTTTCTTCCAAGGAGCAAGCATCTTTTAATTTCATGGCTACAGTCACCATCTGCAGTGATTTTGGAACCCAAGAAAATAAAGTCTGTCACTGTTTCCATTGTTTCCCCATCTATTTGCCATGAAGTGATGGGACAAGATGCTATGATCTTTGTTTTTTGAATGAGTTTTAAGTCAGCTTTTTTGCTCTCCTCTTTCACTTTTGTTAAGAGGCTCTGTAGTTCCTCTGCTTTCTGCCATGAGGATGGTGTCATCTGGATATCTGATGTTATTGATACTTCTCCTGACAATCTTGATTCCAGCTTGTGCTTCATCCAGCCCGGCACTTCAAATGATGTACTCTGCATATAAGTTAAATAAGCAAGGTGACAGTATGCAGCCTTGACATACTCCTTCCCAATTTGGAACCAGTCCATTGTTCCATGTCCGGTACTAATTGTTTCTTCTTGACCTTCGTATAGGTTTCTCAGAAGAAAGGTAAGATGGTCTGGTATTCCCACCTCTTGAAGAGTTTTCCACAGTTTGTTGTCATCAACACAGTCAAAGACTTTAGTGTAGTCTGTGAGGCAGAAGTAGATGTGTTTCTGGAATTCTCTTGCTTTTTCTATGATCCATTGGATGTTGACATTTTGATCTCTGGTTCCTCTGCCCTTTCTAATTCCAGCTTTAACATCTGGAAGTTCTTGGTTCACATACTATTGAAGCCTAACTTGGAGAATTTTGAGCATTAATTTGCCAGCTTGTGAGATGAATGCATTTGTGTGGTAGTCTGAACATTCTTTGGCATTGCCCTTCTTTGGGATTGGAATGAAAATGGACCTTTTCCAGTCCTGTGGCCACTGCTGAGTTTTGCAAATTTGCACTGGTCCATAAAATTCAATATTTGGAAATCCATCCCCTAGCATGTACTTTCTTGTTGTTGCCTTTTCTCTTGTGATGTTATCCTTTTCTTCATAAAATCTGCCTCAGAAGGGACAATAAGAGTGAATTCATATGAACCAAAGTGAAAAACATTCTGATTCAGAAACACTAATGTTGTAGAGCATCTCCCTTTGTGCCAGGTCTGTGCTACGCACATTCACATTCTATCCTGCTAAGTCCTAACTGTTGTCCATTATTATTTCACTTTTACAGATGAGGTGAAAAGTGAGTTAGATTTTGGGTGATCCATATCCTTCCAAGGCAAAAAAAAAAAAGAGACCTAGAGGGCTGAGGAGATCCAAGAGAGGTTAGTGGCAGACATGTTGAGACTTGCCAGTCAAGGTTAATTTGGTTGGGAAGAGAATGACATAGTGATAAGAGTAAAGATGAAGAGGCATAATGAACACCATGCAGTTAGGAACAGAGTCCAGACTGACCTGAAGGGAAGGCAAGCAGCAGATGGGAAGACTATGAATGCATAGATGATTGGACAGCATTATCACTCCACAAGTCATGATGTTTCAAGATGGTACATTCTAAAGCTTGCTAACTTCTTGAATTCCCACTGAGTCCGTCAATGCCCTGAAAGACATATTTTTTTTTTCTTTGAATGTGTTTACCTGACCATTTTTGGCTTCTCATCATATTGCTGGGAAAGATAATTCTACTCTTAACTGCTGGGCATGTTCCCTATAAGAAAGCTTCTCTGTAGCCCTGTTGCTGAGTGTGCAGTGCATTCTTAGTTTTCAATAAGAGCCCAGACTCTTGAGTCAGAAGTTTCTAACAGGAGCAGAAGCCCAACATATTATAAGTTTCCAGCCCCATAAATGCGTGCTTAGGCTTGGTGTGAAAATTGTTTGGCATTAGTCTCTTAATAAAGTCCTACTTTTTCTAGTGGTGATAGTCTTTGGATCTAAGGATATGTCCACCATTGTTAACTCTGAGCCATCTCATTTGAATAGTGAAGAGTTGATAAACTTGACAATATGTGTATATATGGAGCACCTAGTTCAAACCTATGTGATAGGTGTTCAGTAAATTGTAGCTGTAGTGGATTCAACATTTGCAAATTTGCCTACTTGCTGAAATTTACTTGTAACTCCAAAACCAATACTCACAGCACTTTCATCATCATTGTGGATACGGGCAGAGCAGTGAAAAATTTGAGTCCTCTGACATACACATTCATAGCTGAGGACAAACAAGGGAAAATGCTGCCTTATTTTGTCAGCTCTCACACTGTAAGCAAATTTTTTTTTGTCCTTTTGGTGGTCTTCTTAGTGGCCTTTTATCAAATTTTTGTGCTTTTTTAGGTGATTTCATTGTGTAAAATAATTCCCGAGTGTAGTGCTGAAGTGTTTTCTAGTCTTCCTAAGCACAGGAAGCACCTTATAGACAAAATATGTGTGTTAGGTAAGCTTTATTCAGGTTTAAGTTACAGTGTTGCTGGTCAAGAGTTCAATGTTAATGAATCCATAATATTTATTAAATAAGTAAATAAGGTGTCTTTAAACAGAAACAGGTAAAACAAGGTTATGTATTGATCAGTTGATGAAAACGTGACCAGAGGCTCTCAGGAAACCTGACTCTGGATTTTTCCTAGGAGCAATGGTTCCATACTTGCTAACATGTTTCCTATAACTTAGTAGAATACAGCTATCACAACTAGCAAGAGTTACTGCATTTATGATTGTAGTCATTCAAAAAAGTCAAACTGTGTGCTTGCTCCCTAAGCCCAATCTACTAAGAATGGCAATGACTTTATAAGATTATGTCAGATGCCATCTTCTTTCCTCTCCTCCCCCTTACCAAAATTCTCAGAATTGTGTCTCTTCATGGTGCCCATTCAGTGCAATGTCCCTCTGGTTCTTGAGCCAATCTCATCTAGAGCAGAAAGTCAATAATTCCTGGCAGAGGCCCACAATGGGTTAAGTCTGCCATGAAGTCAGACCTCTGCCCCCTATTCCTGCCAGACCTGGATACCCACTGGAGTGACTGATCTCTGAGACTGAATACTCATGTTGAATTCACAGCCCATCATTCTGGAATCCTGTGTCCAAGAATGAGAACTGAGCGCTCACATCACCACTTAATCTTGTTACCTCAATATTCCCTTATAACTGAGCATTTACTAAGTGACAGGCATCCATCCAATCAAACTTTTACTCTCGAGGGAAGAGAGATCCATCACCAGTCACAATATAATGTAGTTGGTGGTTTGTAGATGTGGATGACGCTGAAGGGAGTACAGAGGAGGGGTGTTAAATCCAACGGGAAGTCTTCCCAGAAAAGGTAGTGAGAAGCTAGTCTTAAAGAATAAGCAATTAGCCAGGCAAATAAGTGGATGAACGGTGTATAAAGATGTCTCTGATAAATGAAACGGCATAAGCAAGGGCATGGAAGCATGAAAAAGCATGGATTATTTTGGAAATCACAAATGTTTAAGTACTGCTGGTTATAAAATGTAAGGATGAAGGAAACTATAAGCAAGGTGAAAAGACAGCCTTCAGAATGGGAGAAAATTAATAGCAAATGAAGCAACTGACAAAGAATTAATCTCAAGAATACATAAGCAACTCCTGCAGCTCAACTCCAGAAAAATAAACGACCCAATCAAAAAATGGGCCAAAGAACTAAACAGACATTTCTCCAAGGAAGACATAGAGATGGCTAACAAACACATGAAAAGATGCTCAACATCACTCATTATCAGAGAAATGCAAATCAAAACCACAATGAGGTACCATTACACGCCAGTCAGGATGGCTGCTATCCAAAAGTCTACAAGCAATAAATGCTGGAGAGGGTGTGGAGAAAAGGGAACCCTCTTACACTGTTGGTGGGAATGCAAACTAGTACAGCCACTATGGAAAACAGTGTGGAGATTTCTTAAAAAACTGGAAATAGAACTGCCATATGACCCAGCAATCCCACTTCTGGGCATACACACCGAGGAAACCAGATCTGAAAGAGACACGTGCACCCCAATGTTCATCGCAGCACTGTTTATAATAGCCAGGACATGGAAGCAACCTAGATGCCCATCAGCAGATGAATGGATAAGAAAGCTGTGGTACATATACACCATGGAATATTACTCAGCCATTAAAAAGAATACATTTGAATCAGTTCTAATGAGTGAATGAAACTGGAGCCTATTATACAGAGTGAAGTAAGTCAGAAAGAAAAACACCAATACAGTATACTAATGCATGTATATGGAATTTAGAAAGATGGTAACGATAACTCTATATGTGGGACAGCGAAAGAGACACATGTATAGAACAGTCTACTGGACTCTGTGGGAGAAGGCGAGGGTGGGATGATTTGAGAGAATAGCATTGAAACTTGTATATTATCATATGTGAAACAGATCACCAGTCCAGGTTGGATGCATGAGACAGGGTGCTCAGGGCTGGTGCACTAGGATGACCCAGAGGGATGGGATGGGGAGGGAGGTGCGAGGGGGGTTCAGGATGGGGGACACATGTATACCCATGGCTGATTCATGTGAATGTATGGCAAAAACCACTATAATATTGTAAAGTAATTAGCCTTGAATTAAAATAAATAAATTTTTTAAAAAGAATAATAAAATTTTTAAAAAAGACTAGAACTTTTAGCATGGCAAAATAAAATAAAATGTAAGGAAAAAGGTGCTGGGAGATGATGCTGGGTAGGGACCAGGGTTTCCCAGGTGGTACAAGTGGTAAAGAACCTGCCTGCCAATGCAGAAGACATAAGGAATGTGGGTTTAATCCCTGGATTGGGAAGATCCTCTGGAGGAGGACATGGCGACCCACTCCAGTATTCTTGCCTGGAGAATCCCATGGACAGAGGAGCCTGGTAGGCTACAGTCCATAGGGTACAAAGAATCAGATATGACTGAAGTGACTTATCCTGCCTGCACACAGGGAGCAGGCCATGTTGTAACATGACATATCTGTTATATCAGTGATGGGAAGCCAGCAAAATAGAGTAACCCAAAATACATGGTGGGATTTGAGTTATATCGAGATCACTGGTGTCTGTTTGGAGGATGAGTCTGAGAGTTGCCAAACTGGAACCACAGAGAATGTTTTAAAACCGTTCCAATAGTCCTGGTGGGCAATGTTGAGGTCCTGAGCTAGAGCAACAGAGGGACTGGAGGGGAGAGGAACACAAGGTGGTAAAACCAGTGGGCCTTAGCAATTGTATTAGCATAAGCTAGTTAACAAATGACCCCCACATCTCAATGGCTTACTGCTAAAGTTTGTTTCTCAATCATGCAACATCTACTGTGGGTTCAAGCTTCTCTCCAAGGTAGCCGCCTTCCCAAAATGCCTCTGGCACACAGGTTTCTTTGATTTGGTGACTCTACCACCTCAAAACAAGACCTCTGCATTCAAAACAACAGGACAAGAGCTATTTCAGGCAATGAGAATTGAGAAAGACTTTTTTACCCGCTTTAGCCCAGAAATAATATGTGAACTTTCATTCACATTTCACTGGAGCAAACTAGTTTCATGGCTAAACTTAACTAGAATTGGGATGGAAAGTGTAGTCTCTCCTATGCCCAGAAAAGAAGAATTTGATATTGGTAAGCACGTGGTGTCACCACTGCCCAAAGTCCATTGAAAGGCGGAACACAGATGGGATGGCCACTGTGTGACATGTGCACATGTTAGGTGGAGAAGTGAAGGGAGCTTATGATTTCTTTCAGGTTTCTGGCTTGAGAAAACCAGTTGGTGGTGCCAGTATGTGAGATGGGGAAGACTGGAAGATCAGCATATTTGAGGGAAAAACAATATAATAGTTTGGGGACACATAAAACATCCCTAAGGTAAACATTATATCTTGAGATAAGAAGCAAAAGATAAGAGTGGAGTGGAAGGTAGTACTGGACAAAGTTGAAGGCAGTTAAGAGTGTTTTGATAGTCTAGAAGAAGCAGTGAATGAATATGGTCATGCGTGAAAGGCAAGGTAGACAAATTACTAGACGGCATTTGGGGAAGAAATATAGGCTGGTATTCAAGGCTGCTTGCAGCATCGGGCACACATTTGCCTGGCGCTGTAAAATATTTTAAAGAGATCATTGAATACCTGACATGGCTCCAAACCATATCTAGAGCCTGGGGCCCTGGTTTTCTATCTCTCTTTAACCATCCATCCTTCCCTGGGCCTGGATCCTGCTCCCATAAATGAGTCTTCTGGAGTCTGGTCGCACACAGGCAGCCCTCTGTTCCCTTCAGTTCAGTTCAGTTCGTTTGCTCAGTCGTGTCCGACTCTTTGCGACCCCACGAACCGCAGCATGCCAGGCCCCCCTGTCCATCACCAACTCCTGGAGTTCACCCAAACCCATGTTCACCGAGTTAGTGATGCCATCCAACCATCTCATCCTCTGTCGTCCCCTTCTCCTCCTGCCCTCAATCTTTCCCACCAACAGGGTCTTTTCTGTTCCCGTACCACCTGTCTAATCATTCCTTGGCATATCTCCTATCTAGCACCTACGAAGGCCATAACCGTGAGAGAGCTGGCTACATCCTTTAGAATCTGCCTTTGAGCCTCGCCCTAAGTCCAAACTCTCATGCTGGACAGTTTCTCCAAACTCTATCTTGTGTCCCTTTCACAGGCCATTGCCTGGTTGTTGCTCACTAGTCTGCTTGCCAGTTCAGAAAAGCGTGGTCTCGGCTTGCCTTAGGCCATGCCCTTAAAAATTCAAGAGGGTCGATAAAAGCAATAGTCTTGTGTTTTTCCAGAAAATATTTACTGCCAATAAAGACTCAAATGTCTCTGAGATTCATGGAGTGAGAGGTGGATGACATTTTGCAGGAACCAGCCTGGGAGCATTAAGGCAAGTAGTGGAGAGTTACGTTTGCTCTTCTCTGGACATAAGACTCTATGTCCAGAGTACATGACTGATGGAGAAGGAAATGGCAACTGCTCCAGTATTGCCTGGAGAATCCCATGAACAAGGGAGGCTGGTGAGCTATGATCCATAGGATCACAAAGAGTTGGACATGACTGAAGTGGCTTAGGACAGACGGACAGACGTGGAATTCTGTGTCCAGAGTACATGGCTGATATTAAAGGGAACCAAGCCTGGGGAAGAAAGGACTGTCAGGAAGCTCACGGAGACTTCAGGAGATAGGTCAGAGCTGTCATCCTCACCCCCACTGTGCCAGGTGGGGACGGAAAACCCAAGATCAAGTCTATGGGAGGAGATAACAGGTCCAATGTAAATGTAGGCATCAGATTAGCGATCTGGGAAAGTGGAGCAGGAACACCAAGGTGGTCAGGGTCAGTTTGCATAACCATGCTGTTGCAGGAGTTCTGCTCTGAACAAGTCAAGGGCTAGATGGCTGGAGTCTTGCCTTCTTGACACTTCTGCCAGAAAGGCTGGCAGAAGCAAAGCAAAAGGCAAAGAGAAGTCTGCTGGGGTTGTAGGGAAGGGCAGATCTTATCCAACACAGATTAAACTTTGAGACCCAGGCATATGGGGATCAAGTAGGCAGTATGGCTGCCCCAGGGGCAGCCCTACCTGATAGAATCCTTGAAGGTTTTGAGCTTCTCTTTGACCTCTAACAGTAGCTTCTTCTAGGCTCCCATTGGAAACTGGGTGAGAGCAGCATCTGCTCTGGTCCAATAGATCAGTGTGTTCTGGAGTTAGGGGGAGGGGGAGGGCAGGGGCAGCCTTCTCCCGACTGGAAGCTCACTGGAATAACTGGGATACGGGTATGGTGTGGACAAAAGCTAAGACTAGGCCTGTGATAAATACCGAAGATGACATTCTGTTACTTGCTTCTACCAGTTGTTATCTACCAATCATCCCAAGAGTACTCAAGTTCATACTACTCAGTTGAGTTCAGTTCAGTCGCTCAGTCATGTCCAACTCTTTGCAACCCCATGTACTGCAACACGCCAGGCTTCCCTGTCCTTCACCAACTCCTGGAGTTTGCTCACACTCATGTCCATAGAGTCAATGATGCCATCCAACCATCTAATCTGTTGTCCCCTTCTCCTCCCGCCTTCAGTCTTTCCAGCATCAGGGTCTTTTCAAATGAGTCAGTTCTTTGCATCAGGTGGCCAAAGTATTGGAGTTTCCACTTCAGCATCAGTCCATCCAATGAATATTCAAGACTGATTTCCTTGAGGATGGACTAGTTGGATCTCCTTGCAGTCCAAGGGACACTCAAGAGACTTCTCCAACAGCACAGTTCAAAGCATCAGTTCTTCGGCGTTCAGCTTTCTTTATAGTTCAACTCTCTCACACCCATTCATGACTACCTGAAAAACCATAGCTTTGACTAGACAGACCTTTGTTGGCAAAGTAACGTCTCTGCTTTAATATGCTGTCTAGGTTTGTTATAATCTTTTAACTTCATGGTTGCAGTCACCATCTGCAGTGATTTTGGTGCCCCCAGAAATAAAGTTCATACTATGGCTTAATCCAATTTAAAGAGGTAACAAATATGAAACACACTGTACACTGTAACAGTGAATAAATGCAGGGTACTGACACTGTTTAAAAGCTAGTCATGTAAAAATAGGCTTTAGAGTGTCAACTTGAAGAACAGTCACAACCTTAATGTTGAGAGTTATGTTTTATTCGTTGGGAATTTTTAGGACTTCAGCCCAAGAGGCAGCATCTCAAGTAACCCTGAGAGAACTGCTCCAAGGAGGCAAGGGGAAGAACCAGGTTAAAGAGAAGTTTTGCTACAAAAGGCAGGTAGTCTGAACGCCAAAAGATTATTGTTAATTAAAGGAAGCCAGACATCCCAAGTTAAGGAATTTAGCGCTTTTCTACATATGGAAAGACTAAGAGTCTGGGCTCATTGAAACTATTCCTTTCATAAGCATCTTCTCAGCTATCCTGGGCCAGTATCCTGTGGTTTGTTTGTGTTTTTTTTTTTTTTTTTTAACATCCTGAGCTCTCTTGGGGCTCCCAGTAGGAAGTGGCTGCAGTCCTAATGCTGCTAGATAGCAGATGTTCTTTTCCTTCCTGAGTGTCCTTAGGGCTCACCAGCTCACATTGGAGGGCTGCAGTCACTGATGACTGTGACATCCTTATTTATTGATATGGCAAGAAATATTTTATTTCTCAATAGCCCAAATTCATTGCTATGCTAAGTGTTTTATATACATTATTTTATTCAATCCTCACAACTTTGGATTTTATAAATGGGGAATGTCAAGCTCACAGAGTATCTAACCCAGGTCACGCAGCTAACTGGTAAGTCTGCAGTCAAGCCCATAAATGTGTTGATCCCAAAGACAGTGCTTCCTCCAAAGACAGAAAACACTGCTATGTCTTTGTTTTGAGCATCTGGCTAAGCTGCCTCCTCACTTTTGTCTGCAGAGGTTAGTCCTGCAACATCAGCTCCGGTCTCTGCTGTCACCCAGAGAGAAGTCTCCGTGGGTTCTTGAGGAAGGCCTGGTGTTGCAGGAGAACTCCCTCCCTTCCAACCACCCCACAACCACCAACTCTGGGTCTTATCTGGCAGCCCTCACATTCTTGCTAAGTGCCTCAAGCAGGACACATTCCTAACTGGGCGCGGGAAGAATTCCTGGCATTTTTCAGCCTGCTGTCTTCCCAGGGACTGGTATAGAGGGAAAAAAACCTTCATTTCTAGTGTTTGAAATTATTCTTAATTAAGTCCCACTCTCCAAGCCTTGAGAAGTGGGAAATAAAGGGAGGAGAAAGGGGAGATTAAGACCCATTGAGATAAATACTTCTCCTCATAACTTGTTTCAGAATTGTGGAATCAGGAATTTGTACTCCTTCTCAATAGTCTTTTCCATCTGTGAGGTCCTTGCCTTTGTCAGGCTGTGTTGTTTGTCTTATACATCATGGCACCCTAACGTCAGTTATAGTTTATAAATAGAATAGTCTAGATGTTTGCATGCATATTACCTCTCTGCAACAATCACAGGTATTACTTTTATAAACACATTCATACTTTACCATGCTTTATCACTTACATCATTCCATTTGATCTTCACAAGAAATCTATGAGGTTGATATTATTATTTCCATTTTGTAGGGGAGAAATCTAAGCTAAGAAGTGAGGTAACTCACATACTGTTAAATAACTGCCAAGAAAGAGGTGGCCTGTGCTCAGAACTTCTGACTCCCCTTCACCATTTTTCATGTTCAAGGCCCCCCATTATGCCATCATAGATACTGCAAGGGGGTAAACTGGGAGTCTGTCCAGTTACTGGGTAAGATCTGATCCTCCTTGCCAGAGAGGTACTCCAGTAAGAGACTAGGGGTTTGGAGGTCCAGCCAGGGAGTACTGGGGAGCTGGCTAGGGTACAAGGTCAAGATGTGCCTGTAGCAGCAAAGGATGAAACAGGAAACGTGATCCAACATCTTGAGAAGCTGATTCAAAAAGTCAAGTCAACCGCCTATGTATGCAGTGATGAATTTTAAGGTATGGAGCATAGCCACCTGGTAGGCAGCAAGCATCCTCCTGATGTCCCACATACTGATCCCAAAATACAAGTCTTTTCTTTGGATCTTACTAGCAACTGGCCCTTGATGCCCTAGATTTTGTGTGTATGTGTGTGTGTGTGTGTGTGCGTGTGTATGTCTGAAAGCTATTAATAACTCTTGAGTTGTTAAGAGTTAGTCATATTTGGTATTCATAAATAAAATTTTAGCACATTATTATAGTTTACTGAGGTGAATACTTACTATTCACCTGGTTGCCAGGCAACACTTGGCCATATTTGCAAAGCTCCCACTATCGAGGTTCAGGGACAGATTGTTGAAGTAGCCTCAATTTTGGGGAAGATAGCTTTGTTATTAGTATCTGTGCTGTATTGTTGCATCAGTACTTTTCAATGGTTACTATTCCTTGTTTTTAATTATATGTTACCTTTCATTTATCTCCATCATTATCTGTTTGATACGGATTATTTGATTAACCCTTATAGTAAGATAGTGGTATCTCTAGAGGTTAACTCAATTTATGACCTGTAAGTTTTCTATAACAAAACATTAAAACAAATATGGATGGTAGTACACATAGGAACCATCCACACCCATATAGCTAAAACAGGTATTCATATGATCTGCACACAATATACTTAAACAGCAACAGTTCATTGCTCTCAGGGAATTCTTTAAGAAGCAGCAAAGACTGGAGTACATGAGTACTTGGAGCCTTTTACTCCATCCAGATGGGCCTCAATCAAAAAAGTCTGAGAACCACTGGGAAGAGAGGGAGAACTTGGGCTTCTTTTAATAGGATGGAAAGAAATACAGAGACCAAAAGAGAGTGAATATGTGAAGGAAGCCCGGAGGCAGAAATCAGAGAGATTTCTGGTACTGAGGAAATGATGCCTGCAGTATCTTATCAGATGCCTGTGTCCTCCGGCATGGATGAGGAAGGAGTTATTCAAGGTGGTCATGTCCCAAGGGTGCCCCATAGGGCAGTCTGGTTCATGTATTGTGCCAAAGTGCCCTGGCAGGGCACTTTCCTGGCAGACAGTGACTGACACAGCGGCCCTTCACTGACTATGAACCCTAGTGCCAGGGAAGAGAAATCTTTTTGTAACTTGTCTGCCTTCACAGAATGCCTCTAGTAAATGATTTTAAAGTGCCCATATGTGGCATATCTGTATAACCAATAAGAGGTTAATATCCAAAACACGTAAACAACTCATACTGCCTAACACACACATACACACACATAAAACAAGCAACCCAATTAAAAAATGGGCAGAAGATATGAATATACACTCTTCCAAAGAAGAAATACAGATGACTAATAGCCAAATGAAAAGTGCTCAACATTGCTACTCAACAGAGAAATGCAAATCAAAACCACAATGAGATAGAACTGTTGCAGGAAAGGGGACCCCTTCCAGGGCCCGAAACTGGGCTCTTGTCTAACACTCAGAAATGAATTGTCCAAGGAGACACATGTGCTGACAAAGTGAGAGATTTTATTGGGAAAGGGCACCCGGGTGGAGAGCAGGAGGGCAAGGGAACCCAGGAGAACAGCTCTGCCACGTGGCTCGCAGTCTCGGGTTTTATGGTGATGGGATTAGTTTCTGGGTGGTCTTTGGCCAATCATTCTAATTCAGAGTCTTTCCTGGTGGCGCCGTATCGTTCAGTCAAGATGGATGCTAGCGAGAGGAATTCTGGGACATGGACAGACACACAGTGTCTTCTTTCGACCTTTCCCAAACTCTTCCAGTTGGTGGTGGCTTATTAAGTTCCCTATTCCTTATCAGGATCTCCTGTCATAAAACAACTCATGCAAATGGTTACTATGGTGCCTGGCCAGGGTGGGCGGTTTCAATCAGTGTGCTTCCCCTAACAGTACCTCACACCAATAGAATGGCTGTCATCAAAAAGACCATAGTAACCCGTGTTGGTGAGAATGTGGGAAAAGGGGGACTTTGTACATTGTTGGTGGGAATATAAATTGGTGAAGCCACTATGGAAAACAGTATGAAGAGTTCTCAAAAAGTTAAAAATAGAACTACCATATGACCCAGCAATTCTACTCCTGTAGAATTTGGTTATATATCCAAAAAAAGAAAATACTAATTTGAAAAGATATATGCACCCTAATGTTCTTGCAGCATTATTTACAATAGCCAAGATATGGAACCAACCTAAATATCCATCAACAGCTGATGGATAAAGAAGTATTCACAGTGGAATACTACTCATCCATAAAAAAGAATGAAATTTTGCTGTTTGCAACATGGATGGACTTGAAGAGTTTTATGCTTAATGGAATAAATCAGACAGAGAAAGACAGACACTGTATGTTATCATTTATATGTAGTATCTAAAAAATAAAACTAGTGAATATAACAAAGCAAATGCAGATTCACAGATATAGAGAATAGGCTATAGTAGTGGTTACCACTGGGGAGAGATGAGAGGGAGGGGAAAGAGACAGGTAGGGGATTATGTGATATAAACTATGTATAAAATAAATAAGCTACAAGGATATATTGTGTATCACAGGGAATAGAGTCAACATCCCTGGTGGCTCAGTGGTAAAGAATCCACCTGCAATGCAGGAGACACAGGTTTGATCCCTAGGTTGGGACAATATCCTGGAGGAGGGCATGGCAACCCACACCAGTATTATTGCCAGGAAAATCCCATGGACAGAGGAGCCTGGCTGGCTACAGTTCACGGGGTTGCAAAAAGTCAGACATGACTGAAGTGACTGAGCGCACACACATGTATAAATGGAGCATAACCTTTAAAAATAGTGAATTATTGTTGTACACCCATAACTTATATAATATTACGAATCAACTATACATCAATTAAAAATTAAAAAATGAAAGTCCCCACTTGTGCAAATTATAGCCCTTGAGATACTCCAGGAGGTTGTGGGGTATTGCTTTTATCATGGATATATTGAAGGTAGCTACCTCCTGCTCCCAACCAGAGAAGATGAGTGATAGCCTAAGGGTATTGAAATGATATTGAAATAATCTTGAAACTTAGAGAAGAATCTAACAATGTGCTTTCATTTTGGCAAAGTCAGAATGTGGAAAGAGAAGAGCTTAGGTACAAAATATAGTCTTTCTTCAATTTCCTGAAATGCCACCAAGAAAAAACTACCATTACTGCAAAAAGGCCATCTAGAAGGAAGAACCCACGGAGAGATGTCTTCTTATCCTGAGAATTTGGGGTTTGAATTCAGGCAAGAGAAAATCATCTCGTTATTATTAAGAATCCAAAGTTCCTTAAATGAAACAGGCCAAAATAGAGCTATCCTCATCAAAAAGCAGTTCTAAATCTATCCTGTGATGTAATTTCACAAATACTATATTACAAGATTTTGTTGTTATTGTTTAGTCACTAAGTCATGTCCAACTCTTTAAGACCTCTTGAATTATAGCCCTCCAGGCTCCTCTGTCCATGGGATTTACCAGGCAAGAATACTGGAGTGAGTTTCCATTTCCTTCTCCAGGGGATCTTCCCCACCCAGGGATCAAACCCACGTCTACTACATTGGCAGATGGATTCTTTAGTGCTGAGCCACCAGGAAAGCCCATTATAAGGTTTACACCATCATTAATCATTGTTAAGTGTCCCATTTCATAAAGTGATAATTGCCTTCAAGTAAACTTGCCTTCAAGTAAACTTTACTAAGCTTCTCTAGTGGTTCAGATGGTAAAGAATCTGCCTGCAATGTGGGAGACCCAGGTTTGATTCCTGGGTTGGGAAGATTCCCTGGAGAAGAAACTTTAGTAAATAGTGCTATATAATTGAAGATACAGATATTGAAAGAAATTTAGTTTGGCTCCTAAAAAGTATTCATCTTGATTTCTTGCTTAGTAACTATTGAGAGAGATGAGTTGACATTGTGCTATTTCACAAAGACATTTTCTGAGTTGACATACTCCTTTTAAGAATGCACATTCAAAAATGGCAATATTAGTGTTGATTGTTACCTTATTTGATTTTCCCTGGGTGATCGAATGACTGTTTATTTGCTATGAATAAAGCTGTGGGTTAGCCCATGTCTCTGGCATACCAATCATGATCCCATCAGACTCTGTGGTTGGACAATTTCTATGTGGGAGTTGTCAAATTGTATGAGATCCATTATTTTTTTTGTGTGTGTGTGTTTTTTTTATTGCTTTATTAACTCACAAAAGCCCAAGCCATTGTATTACTAGAAGAGGAGGCAGAAACCACATTCTTTTAAAAAATAAAAAAAAATAAAAAACTGAAAAACAGAAAGAAAACATGGTCCCACCAGTAGTCAGTGGAATTTAAATTCCCAAGGGCTATGGTCAAGTTCCATAACTTGCTCTAAGTTATGTTTTTTCTTAGTTCTTAACCTGAGTGTAAGGTCTAAAGACATCAAATACAGAAGCCTTAGAGGGTAAAGCCCTAATAGCAGAAGAATGCAGCTTTTCAAAGATCCAAATGAAGTAAAGAGGGAGAAATACAGTAAAAGCAATATTCACATGCATCTTTTCTTCTCCTTAAGACAGAAGGTCTTTGTTCCTCTTTTGATTTGTAATCTAAGCTCAACATTAGAAAATAATAAAAATAGTAACTAGCTCTTTAGAGTTCATAACTGCATTCATATGTGTTAGCGTATTTGAGTTCAAAAACAGCCATTATTACTAGACTTTTTTTAATACAGATAATGCTGAGCCTTAGAGAGGCTAGAAGACTCATTCAAGATAGTTAGGCTAGTCAGGGACTTCCTAGACTCCATGCCCCATCTTCTGACCCCAAAGCATATCCTTTGCATTTTACCGGCATAGTCTTAAAGCAAATAAAAAGGGACCCCCCACAACAGTTCAAACAAGGTTAATTGATCGCTAAATAATGGAAAATTTATAAAATCAATATCACACCTGTCAGTCAATTCAGGAACCAAGAGACCTCTTGACTGGTTCTGCTGTTTTCACAGCTGACGTAAATATGAAA